CGTTGCCGTGGTGTTTCAAACCAACGTGGCGTCAAACAAAGTGATGTGCTCAATCCAGCACTTTTCAACACAGGCCTTGAGCTCGCACTTTCTCGATGGAAAAGCACATTCTCAAAGCATGCGTTGCACGCTGGTGGACCGGAACGCCTTACAAACATACGTTATGCAGGTGGAGGAGCAGCTGGTTTTCATGATGGAGTCGCTTGTACACCGGTTGGCACAAGTAGGGTTGCAGCTCAATCCTTCAAAAACGAAGATTTTCACAACTCAAGCCCAGGCCTTGACGAGACCGCTCTTTGCGGAAGACTGTGAAGAGCTTGTGGAAGCACTCACAGGTGGGACGACGCATGTGTGGCTCATTGGCTCAGACACATTGAGTTCAATCATCGGGTCCAAGTGGCATGGAACAAATTCCATCGACATCGCCGTATATTGGTCAACAAAGATGTCTCCATCAAACTTCGCATGAAATTATTTGATTCCGTCGTGATGCCGACCATGCTGTTCGGCTTGCACACATTGGCCTTAACCGGCGTGCAGCTGTCCAAACTGGATTCCATTCAGAGGCGGATGCTGTGATCCATGGTTGGTTGGATTCGAATTCAAGACGAGGGCTGGCACGACACTATGAGTCGCATGAAGTCGCGGGTGGCAGCTTTGCGTCAGCACCCCGTCGAGACATGGACAACACGTTTAGCAAAATAACCGCATTCTGTCGCTGTCTTGCACTGGATTCGGACAAGCGAAAGCGAAAGCCCGGCCAATCATAAGCTTCCACACAAGGACAACATGCACCGGACGGAATTTTTTTTTGCCACGCACCTTTTACAACTGCGCGAAAAAGTCCGGGTCCCCGTGCAACTGCAAACTACGGACCCAGGCGGCTCGGGGTGGGGGGGACTGCGTCGTGCAGAACGTCCCCGAGCGCAGGGGGCTGGAAGCCAGGCATGGCTCCAGCAACGTATGGCGTGCCAAGCAGCGTTGCAGCAAGGGTACTTTGCAAAGCAACGCTCAACAGGCACCACCAGCGGCGCAGCCAGCCCTGAGTAGCGACGCCGCGCAGGGCGGCAGGAGCGCGCTGGGCTCGGAGCCGTACGAGCTGGGAGACGAGGCGGAGCGATGCGGCGCTCAAGCGCCCACCAGCCTCGCACGCAAGGACGCAGAGCCGCTGGGGTCCAGGACGCAGCAGCTCGGGGTACGCTGCACGCTTGCGCCTCTCAGCGACAGCGATAACGGCACCGTCGCGCGTCGCAGCAGAAGGCTGCGGGCGCCTGTCCCGTGTCAGCGGGGACACCAGCGTGACGTCGCAGCACAAGGCCTCGCCGAGTGGGGTAGCCCCGTACGCAACGCAGTCGAGGCGGCGGCGATCAGCAGGATCAACGTCGGGGGCCGATGTGCGTGCGCGCCATTGTTGCGGGACGACCTGGCCCTCAGCTCCGACGGCTTCACGAGCAACGCGCACCCAGGCGTGCTCGAGGGGCTTGGCCCTGCGGGCGAGCAGACCGGTACGGGGACAGGCGGCATGGTGGTCGCCGTAAGCATCGTCTACTGCACCGCAGCCGTGGCCATGTTCGCCGCAGCTGTGTGGGGCGACGGGCAAGGGCAGCCGCAGCCGCCGCCGCAAAGCTATGAGCATGCGGTCGGGCGGCAGAGCAGTGCCAGCTTCGCACGGGGTGGCGCTGAGCCAGGCTGCAGCATGCGGCCCCGATTGTGAGCGGAGCATGGCCTGGGCGGGGGCTGGCAAAGCGGGCAGCAGCTCGGTTTCGCGGAAGTGGGTAGAGCAAGCGCGCGAACCGTGATGCTGCCAGCCCTGGCACCTCTCGCCAGGCTCAGGCAGGTCGCATTGTGCGGGGCGTAAATCGTTAAGCAAGTCACTCCAAGACGGGCGGCCGAAATCGCCCCTCCGCACGCGGCATTTCTGAAGTTTCGAGTTTCGGACCGTCACACACATAAAACAAAAAAACTAACGAGAACAAACATGTCATGCTCAATGCCGCCTGTACATGTCCCGACCCTTTTTCGTACCTCCGGGGCCTTGTCTGCACTTACGACCCCCTCCCCCCAAACGAAGCCAGAAGTGCAAAATGTAGACATGCAGGAATCGACCTACGCCCCCCCCCCCCATCCTACACTCATCAAGGGTAGGCGATGTCGCCGTACACATCCAAGCGTCCTCCACAAGGACAGCGCTTCGGGGCGAGCGGGTTTCTTTTTTGGTAGGGACCCCCTTTTAGCGCCCACTTCAATTCTGGTTGGTGGGTCCTCTGTCTACTGCGCGGTAGCACAGCGCTGTGCCGTTCGTCGTGGCCCCGTGGATGACCACGTCAATCCGGCACTAATCATCAGCGCGCACCATAGGCGCCGTGGTTCGTATCCGTGTTCGTATAGCCGCAAACTCTGACAGAGGACAAGCACTTGAAATGTTGGTGCACACGTACAGCAGGCTCGCGAGGATACAAGCAAGCACATCTGAAGAGGTTTATACGTGGTTTTCGGCTTCGGTTTTTGCAGACATGCGGCTTTCGCTGGAGCGAAACCATCGCGATGACTGCAACTTGAGGATGACTGGGCTCGGGATCTCTTCCCAGGGGTCCACCTTCCACGGAGCTTCCGCGCATCCCCATTCATCCTGCAAATTTTAGATCCGGTGATAATCATCATGAACACATTAATGCACATGGCACAGGCGATGATGTTGGGGCATGGTGAATAGTGTGAGCTCCTTGGGAGCTGTACATACTGGAATTAGTTTGTTTGATCGGTGTGATTGTACATTTGTTACGAGTGCGTTCTTTAGCATCGGATGTCGGTACTGATTCTTTTTTATGTTTCGGTTCTGTGGTCGGTTGTTCTTGAAACTGACATTCGCTTGCGCTGTCTCACAACTCTGACCATGACTCATGGTCGTTAGCGGACTCGTCTCTGATAAGGAGCATGCGTCGGACAAGGATGGGTGACTCTGAGGCACGCTGGCATTTCACAATAGAGGCCGATGTACCTGTGCCATCCTGTGCCCATTGTGCATCGAAAAGCAGAAATACAGCCATCACGGTGCAGGTCTATGGTCAGTCTAAGGACTTCGGCTTCGGGGCTCATGGATCTATGCTTTTGAAACCACTTTCGGTTGATATTTTTGAATTTGTTGAGGTACCGATTGCTTCCGCAGAGTTTCCGCTTACTTCCGCGCATACAGAGTCCCGGCTAAATCTTTCCGGCTTTCCGGCTGCCCACAACTTCTCGCTCAACACGGACCCACTGCCACGCGTGTGTTCGAGCATGTTCGAGCGTCGTAGCTCTCCGGGCAAGAAGTCCAGTGCGCGGGCAAGCGAGAGAGCGGTCTCCGAACCCTGTCGGCGCTGCATGGATTGCGGTGCAGCGGCGGCCGGCTCTGCTGGCATGGCGGTTGACCATGAAAATGCATGAGGTCCCGATTGCGAGCGCACCAAAGCTCGGGCGCTTGGCATCATAGCTGGCAGCAGCACGCTGTCGCGAAAGCGTTGGTTGCGGGTGCGCGACGCGTAAAACTGCCATCCATGCGGGCCGGCGTGCTCTGGCGGGGCCGGGCGGGCCCCTTGGAGGATTGCTGGCAGGCCTCCCAGCCCTCCATCAATCAAAGTCAGGGGTTCGTGTCTTTGACCATGGCATGCTTTACGCGGAACTAGGAACTCAGGAAAATATCCCTTCCTTTCTCGATGATAGCTGGCGCCTGGCGATGAGGCGGCCCGGGCTGCTTTGACCGACCCAGCCAAACGGCCGCCGCAGCCACACGAGCCCATCCCGCCAGTGGTGCTGCAGTTCCAACCGCCGCTGACGCCCGTGCGCCTGACTTCCATGCCGCAGCCTTCGCGAAGCCAAGCGGGGGAGCAACTACATCTACCGTGCCTCGTTTGTTGTGCGTAGGCTGCGCGAGGTGGCACCCGCACTCGTGCCTTCCGCATGCGTTTTTTACGGGCAGACTTCGGAATACCAGTAATGGGACGACGACGGGGTCCGCCACGGCATGCGCCAAGCGGACGGACGCAAACAAGGCGATCCCCTGAGGAAGAAGACGGGGGCCATGGCCCCCGTCTTCTTCCTCCTCGGCTAGTATGAGGCGTTGCGCTGGGCAGACTCGCAGTTGCGGCAGGGGAATCACTCATGGCCTTTCTCGATGACCTCAACGTCCTCCTGCCCAACCCAACCCGAGCGTGCGCCGCCCTGGATCTGGTGACAGGCACGGTCGAAGCACACGCTGGCATATCCGCCAACTTGGACAAGACACGCGTCTTCAACTACGAAGGTGGCCCGGCGCCGCCAGGGATCGCTGACTTGAGGTCCGAGGTATGGCGTGGCAGTTTGTCGCACTCAGGACCCCCATCGGCACGCCAGAGTACGTCCGTGCGTCGAAAGACTCGAAGCCGAAGACGCGTTACTCCGCCAGCTTCCCAGTTAAGTTGCCTGACCTGCAGTGCCCGTGGTTCCTCCTCAGCTTCTGCGCCGCGCCCCTCGCTTACCGACCACGCGCTCCGGACCGTCCCTGCCGCAACCAGATGCTGCAGCACATGATGCAGCCACACATGGAGCACCCTCGTGGGGCGTCCAATCGGACTCCAGGCGGAGGTTGCGGCAAAAGCATGCTCCTACACGGTGCACTTCGATGCAAACCTCTGACACCCGCGTGCAAACGGCTGAAAGTTGACACGTGGCTCCACATCCACAACCAGAAACTCATGTTAACCGCAGAATCTACGACGTCTGGCATCTCTCAGCTCCCGTAACCAAGGCCCCTGAAACTCTCATCCAGGCAGCCCCGACCGTGACCAGCGCCAAGTCGAACCAGTTGGCAAAGTCATAGAAGAAACTGGGTTCAGCATGAGCTTGACAGTCTTATTCATCATCAACACGGTTGGGGTCTATGGGGCGTGCTAGCACTCTGATGCTAGTGCTGCCAGCAGGAGATGCTGCATGCGCCGACTTCAACCCAGAGGAAGACTGCTGCAACCCAACACAGCATAGGAAACTGCAAGCGCTCGATCATCACGCGGATAATCAACTCGGCAAGGAAGACATATACCTGAGCGAGCCGTTGGCATCCCTATCATTTTTCGTTGTCATGCTTAGGCTTACAATTACTTCCACTGATTTTGCTACGACTTTCACCACCACCGCCACTGCTGCTGATACCACTGCTCCGAACACCGGAGGGGGGTGAGGACGACGACGACCACTGCTGCAGCCCGCATGTTATTGCGTTCTGCGGAGGTGCGAAGATGGCATCAATCGTTCGAAAGACAGGCTCCACCGTGGCCAGGTCAGGGCCAGTGTTTGCAAAACCTCAGTTTCAACCAACAGACTCATATACTGTGTTACATAGTGACACCACGCCGGTCTCCACAAAACTCGGACTCTTGGTTGGTCCAGCTTGTAAAAGACGAACTAATCTGAACATGGTATATTGTATTAGTCTGTTAGCATAGTTGATAGAAATTGGCCAGACTCTCCAAGCCGCCAAACTGAGCCGCCCCCACTGCCCGACCTTCAAGTTCCAGCTCGAGCATCATAACGAACCTGGGCAGCACTCTGCTCACACCTGAACACTGCAGGCAAAGAACCAAAGAACCCTACTCATGCACCAAGCGACGAATTAAGAAGGACCAGAAGTCCAGCCATATAGTCGATGTAGTTCTTGCGCCGACGGAGGAAACCCTGAAAACCGCCAATGTCGTGGAGGCCGAGCATGGCAGCGGTGCCGGCAGACGGCTTGGAGGACCTCGACTACACCAAGTCAGGTTGCTGAGAGGCTGTGCACCTTCTTTTGAGCCACTCAGTATTGAACACAGTGCCTGAATTCGGTGCAGTCATGCGGCTTTTCATGAGACGGTCTTTCCATTGAAGCCATACCGCTAAGACTATCTCTGCGGGGACTTTCCACGAAGGAGCGGCTCGAGCGTTGTTCCTTCGCCCAGATGATCTGATGCTCATGACACGAGACCACGCACAGAGTTGCAACAGTTTCAAGATACCACTGAGCCTTCGATGGCTTGTCAAGGACGATTATCGGCTTGGCGTTTTCAAAGGCTTCAGTCGGCAAGCAGTCCTCGGTCATTGTCACAATCACTGCATCCTTCGGAAGACATTCGACGCCAAGGTGCTGGTAGTGGATCGTTGCTCTCCACAGCTGGCTGATAGGTTTGCTGTGTGTCGAACAGCTTTCCTGCACCATCTTGTATTATATTGCTGAAAGCGTGCAAAGGCTCAACTGCGTAGTGTCTTTTTTGGTGTGCACAAATCAGGCTGACCGCATATCTGAAGCGTGAACAGCTGCGTAAACAGCTGTCAGGTCAGGCCTTGCTGAGCTTCCTCCAAAATCTCCAAAGAGCTTCCGTCTAAGGACTTGCGTTGCGAGAGCAACGACGAGGCCTTGCCAGATCTCACGTGGCCACCGCGACCAGCTATGCTTAGTTTCTAAGATCCGCATCATCATAAACTGATACATCTGACGCCATGACATCAGATGCGGCTCTCACATAACACAGAAATGTCACTCAGCGCCTCCATGATGCCGTCTGCTCCTTGTCTACCGAAGGATCGCTCCACAGCCCCTCGCCACTGAGCATAATGGTCCTGACTTGGCCGAGATTCAGTCACCCTCACTCTTTGCACCCTTGGCCAACATCATCAAAAAGGATCAAAGAACCGCCAAGACTACACAGGCTCGCACGAAAATACAATTAACGTGCAATGAACACTTATCAAACAGCAGCACCAGCAGAACATGGCGACGATTATGCCGCGGTAACGATGACGGTGGCGACGCTAGGGCGATAGTGATGAGTGATTATGATTGTGATGCTGTCGACGACGACAGGATGATGCTGATGCGGATGATAAGCCATGATGATGACAATGGTGGGGTGATGATCAGCAGCAATGGCAGTGGCAGTGGCGGTTGCATTAGTGGTGGTGGTGGCAGCAGTGGTGGCAGTGGTACTGGCAGTGGTAGTGGCAGGAGTGGGGGTACGGGTAGCGGAAGTGCCGCACGTTGGAGCAGCACGAAGAGTAGTGCGAGGAGTGCACTGTACAGGTCGTAGCAGTAGTAGTAGCAGTAGTAGTAGCAGTAGTAGTAGTAGTAGTAGTCGTCGTCGTCGTCGCCGTCGTCGTAGCAAGTAGCAGTAGCAGCAGCAGCAGCAGCAGCAGCAGCAGTAGTAGGAGGAGTAGGAGTAGGAGTAGGAGTAGGAGTAGGAGTAGGAGTAGGAGTAGGAGTAGGAGTAGGAGTAGGAGTAGGAGTAGGAGTAGCAGGAGTAGCAGGAGTAGAAGGAGTAGAAGGAGTAAGTAGTAGTAGTAGTAGTAGTAGTAGTAGTAGTAGTAGTAGTAGTGGTGGTAGTAGTAGTAGTGGTAGTGGTAGTGGTAGGGGTAGGGGTAGGGGTAGGAGCAGGGGTAGGGGTAGTGGTAGTGGTAGTAGTAGCAGTAGTAGTAGGAGTAGTAGTAGCAGTAGTAGTAGGAGTAGTAGTAGTAGTAGTAGTAGTAGTAGTAGTAGCAGTAGCAGTAGTGGTAGTAGTACTCGTGCTGTTGGTTTTCCAACTTGGTGCTGTGGGCTCGCTAAGCGACTGATGTCCATGGGTGCCAGACCAATCACTGCAACTTTCCAGTCTCCAAATCACACGAACACCAGGCTTTGGGGCCAATCGAACCACTGCGCGACTAATCAATTTATTCAACCGGGTCCGAGCTCTACGAGCAAGGGCGCGTATTCTGGATCCTTCAGCTTTGCACAAGGAGAGCAAAGGCAGCTGTAGCCAATGCGACAGTCCTCCCCAGGGTCAGAAGATAGTCAAGTCCATAGGTTCGAGCTGGTTCGGGGGAACTGGAATCGAAGTTGCGTTTCCTTTGTGCTCGAGCTTGTCTGCATAAACACCCCATGCCTTTCCGGGTTTGCCACACCTTTTTACAAGTTGATCTTACAACTCCTCGTTCTTTTCAAGGCAAGGTCACTATCTACGTAATTTTTCCCACCCGCTTCGCAAACTATTTAAGGCTTCTTCACACTTTGCTCCTTTTGGAGCTTCGGGCTCCGGTTTGCCGATTTTTCTAAGGAGTAGAGGCGGACGTACAGGTCTTCTACAAAAGCTGTATCAAAGGTATCCGAATTGCAATCGGGATTGCACACGGATTGTGGCGAGGATTAACTGCAAGCGCCGCAAGGGTCTGCATATCCCTACGGCCATCACAGGAAAACCGGGCCGCCTCTCAGTTTTAGATTTTTGCCTGAGGAAACATTTTCAAACCCTCTCGGTAGGTCGTCGAATCGACAACTTGGCATGTGTGTGGACTGTCAACTTAGTAGGCATTCGTAGTTGTCCTAGTCGACATCGTCGACAGCGCCGTTAGCGGTGCTGTAGAAAAGGCATCCATGTACTCCAGCCCCCCTGCTGTGCATTTGGCTCTCCCTACCAGACTCGTGCCTACCGCAAACACATAAGAATACTGGTACTACTCCCAGGAGCACGAGGACTTGCTGCACATGTGTGCGCCGCTGCGACTGCAGATAAAAGGGTGTGGAGTACAACCCTGTCGCATACACACATCTTATACAACCCGTCGCCTGCGTGCACATATTCGTCAAACTGGCGAACGAAGTTCTGGCTCCGACGGAGATGTCTGCATAGTTCGGATTAGGTTCATACATTGATCCACACGGTTAGGGAGCGTAGTGCATTGGGTTCCAGAGAAAGTGGAACCGTTCTTGCAGGGACTGTCAAATCAGCTTCCTGGAGACATCGTGGCAAGGAGAAACAGTTGAAGGCATTAAGGTTGAAAGTAGCAAAGAAAGCTGTAGGACTGCAGGGAACAACGCATGTAATATATCATGCGCGGGCTGCACTGGCAAAAACTTGCGGGTGTAAACTCTCGCGTTGCATAGCATTTGTTACCTCCTGCAGCAAATTATTTCTTTCAGTGCCTGGAACATGAGGTTTGAGCAGTACATAGCTGTGGCCCAAGGGCAAGAAACTCAGTTGTTTTTGTGATTTCAATTTTGAATCTGGCCGCTGCACCCTTGAATGTCTGCTTTAACGGGCTGAAGACAAAACGCCAAGGGTCAAGACTCAATTGCCGTCTTCGCCGATCCTCGCCTAGCTAAGGAAGGAGGGAGCCAGGACGGGAAGACCGGCGCCGAACAAGGAAGGAGAAGATGAGAAAAGCATGGAAGATTGCAGAAGCATGGCCGGTGTGAAGAAAGCAGGATGACGGGAAGGAACGAACAAGAAGGCTCGACGGACAAAAACAACAAATGCCCGAAACAACGAAAGCACAGGCAGGTGCGCAGGCGGGAAGCCAATGCTGAACTTCATCAGCACCATCACCTAAGAATTGAGTATCCAGCCTGGCGCTGTCTATCTGAGCTTCGGATAGCATGTGCGAGCATTACTGAACCCAGGCAGCTGGCGACAACTCATGTCAAGACTTTGGGCACAAGTCAGTCCTCGCAAAACACCTTCTCTCTCGCCTTCTTGACAAAGCCGGCGGGGCACCTGATTGCCTCCTCGGTTGTGGTCAGGGCTCTAGGAACTTGCCCACTCACTCCATCAATATGCTTTCATCCGGGCATCCGATCCGCCTCTGCCGACGACAGCCGTCTACTGGTCTTCACGGGATACGGAGTGTAGCAAATAACCGATGCTGAACAGTGCGAACAGTACAGTATAGTCTAAGCAACATCCATGAGCGCGATGCTCGACTTTGCTGCAGCGGTAGCAATCGCATACACTGACTTAAGAACGAATGGCAGCTGTGGGAACAATCCTTTGTCAAACTCCAGGCCAATCATAACTACGACATAGCATGCCAGTGCAAGATAGCCGCCGCGATGCTCATGAAAGTCTCTGTAAGCATACAGCCACCAGAGCCACTCCGAACGCACAAAGCACAACTTAACACACTGCTACCGAACTTGCACAGGTGAGACTGGTGATGACCGGTCGTAAAGAGAGGGAGCCAGAGCCCTCTTGAAGAAGTGGGCAGTGGCGCAAGAAGAGAACAGTAAGCTAACAATTTCAGAGATTTTCTGACTTCATCTGTTTCTGAACGGAGCCCTTCCGCTAATCGCGCGCGTTCGGCTTGTCCTGCAACTTCTGGATTTCTGGAGGTCTCGAATGCAGGTACATGTTGAACAGTCTGTCGGAAGCATGCAAACCGAAAGCAAGAGACATCCATCCCACATCGCGATTGTAACCGTTTTGCTGCACCATTGCTAACAAACACTTCCTCGTGCGGTTTTTATCCTGGAGTCCCGAATCAGCTCTCTTTCATGACGCACGAAGATCAACGCCCCCAAGAGCCTTCAATGTAATAAGTCCCGTCGCTGGGATCGACAGCTTGGCTCAGCCACGGCTCGTACTCATCCGAACTCCGCAAGCACTTCTTTGAGCTTTGGTCGTAATACCTCGGCTGCAGTGAGTGGAAAGGAGTAGCTTCGCAGCAAGAAGATTGAAGCTGCGATTCTGAGTTACAGAAATCATCAGTGAGAGCCCCAAAATCTAAGCCTTTTGCACTAGGGTTTGAGGATGACGCTAGGACCTGGCCATCGTTTTTGGCGCGGACTGGGCCTTGCCTTCTTCTTTTGTCGTTGACAATCAGTGCTCACCCTGACACAGAAGTTCGACTCTTGAACTCCGGAATGGATCCAGGCGAAGCTGCAACAAGTTTGACGGATAGACAGGGCATCAATCGGAACCCCAAGACTCCCAGGAATGTAACTTGCAGGTGAGAATCTCAATGCGTCGGAGCATGTCCAGAAGACCGAAATAGTTCCTTAATGGTCAGCACGTGTCCTAATCGTGAGGGCAGGAAGCATTTCATCCTGAATCTCTGCAGTTTTCTGTTGAAACATTGATTCCAGATATGCACCATTAAGGAAGCAGCAGAGTTTGATGTTGGGCTTGAAATAGTTCGAACCTGAAGCTCTCAACTCTCGGACTTAGCATGTCGGAATGCCGTTCGCACTTGCTGTTCCGAAAGCTTGTTGGATTACAGTAGTGGCTTAAGGATCGGGAGGCTCAGAGCCACAAGAACTCCTTCACTAAATAATTTGGTTCGTGCCCTGAGTTACGTCGGACCTGCTAGCTGCCGTTCAGAGTCTGTGGTGTGGACCAGCTGGCAAAATTGCCTGGCACCCGACTGTGCATGCCGAGTCCAGTGTGCCCACCAGCACGACAAATATGCGTGGCAGGGTTACAAGTTGTTAGAGCCAGCAATGCACAGTTGTCCTATCGGGAGCTTGAGGTTGTAAGGCATGAAATTTTCTGCTAAAGCAAAACTGAGGCTTCCATGGGTTGCTACGCTGAAATCGCACCAGACGAGCTTGGGAGTCTTGATCTGAGATGACCCCGGTCATGCCTGCAATCGCTGGCTCGGACAACTCTGGATCCGGTGAGAAACGATCAAGAGCCATGAGGGAGCTTGCGACCAGCTCCTTGACCTGTGCCCAGGATAGGAATAATCGGAGCCGCACAAATCGAACTTGTGCAGCTTGTTAACTAATAACAATCTCAAACTGCCAGGGAAAACCTCACATCAACAATGGGAAGGCTGGGTGGAATTGGAGGTTTTGAAAGTCGAGAACTCCGAAGACACGGCTCGACCGAGCCTCGTCAGTTACATGTGGCAAAGCGCCGATGGGCCACTCCGGTGTGAAAGCCGTGGAGCGAGCGAAAGGGAAGTCCGGGTCCTGAAAAACCAGTGCCTAGACTCCTAGATGCGTTGTTCTAGCCTCAATCTGTGTTCTCAGTCGTGCTGATGATATGGCTTGAATGTGGAGGCTCCCTTCACTATGGAGTGACACAGCCGCTACGAGGAAGAGACCTGCTCAGAGTCCCTTCCGAAGCAACAGTGAAGCAACCAAATAAACACGAGCACAGGACCCAGCACAAACGGGAAGCCAAGGAGCTGGCGACTGTGCGAGACAAACAGGTCAAGCATGCAACACGGGCTCACACGTGTGGAAGCCACGACAACAGTGCATGTTCTTACCAATGTGGTGAGCTTGAGCTATGACGAGCTTCAGAACTTCCTAACCAAGGGACCTTTCAGGCAAAAGCATGGCAGCGTCGAGTGCTCCAGCTGCTAGACGTTTGCTGGCAAGCTGCCGGGATCTGGCCGATAACTCTGAAATATTCCCACCTTAGCTGCTTCATGCGCGAGAGACGCAGTCAGTACCAGTCAGTTGATACAACTAGCGTGTATTTTGCACGTCCCACAAGGCAGCCAGGCCACTTCGTTAGGTTGTTCGCAACATTTGAATCGACCAAGTCGGTTCTAACGAAGCCGACGTCTGCGAGACCGAGCTCGACGTCCTGAGGCACGGACAATCTGACTCCAGTAAACCCTAAACCCTAAACCCAAACAAACACAGACCTCCTCGTTTGAAGGATCGAAGCCTTGAGGTTTCGCCATTGCAGAAGAATCGGTTCGAAAGCGAAGGACGGCACTCTAATTGCCTGGACTGGCATTCAGCCAGGCAGAAGGCCGACATTCAGGCCCAAAAGCCAGTGGACACCCTGAGAGTATGGAACACCCAGAATGCAAAGACTTGTCTGAGCAACTCCATTCCCTAATCGCCCATGCCAGCGCGAGAGAAACAAGCAAACGTCACACCTGGGGCATTGACAAGACCTATGTGCGCACAAATGCGTGTTCGGTGCCAAGCTTTCTCATTCCTTTCTTGCTGCTGGTGGTCCTGCACGATCTTGTTCTGGTTGAAGGCGAAAGTCAGTCGAGGTATATCTGTCATGATGTTCAATCCCTGGGATAGCAGTTCCTCGGATAACGAGCAAAGTTGGCGACATCTCTGCTGTCGATTGGCACCCATCGGTTCTGCGTTGTATCGCGAGCGGAACATGCAGCTACCAATCAAGATCTCACCGAAACATGCTGTGCTACGAAGGGAACAGCCTGGATCCAAGCTGCAGCACAAAAATTGGACGCAGCCAGAAAAACTGACACAAGCCGATTTGGTTTTGGAAGATGCCGGCTTGGGCAGCATAATACATCTGGCTTTGAGGTTGTATGGCTCTCATTCGGCAGCGTCCTCCTATGTACTGATTCGACTCAACTCTAGGCTTCAACGACTCGCATCTTATCTCGCTGGAAGCAAAAAAGGCGGGAGGGGGAGAGAGGGTGAGAGAGAGCGTGAGAGACAGATCGAGCAAGTGGGGGAGGGAGGACCAAAGTGTGGTGGCTTTGCAGGCCAAGGTTCTGCTTGCTGGAGTTGCATTGCACCTCAGTTAGAGTTTGAATAGCACATGGCAAACCTGACTGCTTTCCTCACATAAAATCTCAGCGATGACCTAGCAGAATCCCGGGATGCCTCTAGATGCAAAACCGGTCAAAGGCAACTGGGCACTGAGCAGCACACGCGGAGGGCACAAACGCACTCAATTCCTCGCTGGTCAAGCCCGGCCACCCAGTCCAGAGATTGAAACGGCCTTGACGAGGCGGAGGCGCGCACATTTCTTGAAGGTTAGTTTCGGGAAGATATCTGTACTGGAGACACCCAAGAAACCGTTCGCAGGTTGCGCAAAAGCGCTTCTCAAAGCTGCTTTGCTTGCGGTCTTCTTGTGCCACCCTCACTGTGTCACCTTCATGGCACCCCAAGACTCGATGAGGCGGCTTTACAAGTGCGAAGCGGTAGCACAAAGACGATACATCACCGACAACGGCCGTGCTAGGTCCACGTACGTGCGGTGACCTCCCAACACAAGATACGCCGCAGGCATGCGTCTCACAAGTATCAATTCGGACGGAAAGATACAATCACACTGAACGTGGAAACTGATGGACCTGACTGATTTACCCGTTGCTGCCACTTGCCATGCCTGTCCAACTTATCCGCGTTCCGAGTGAATAGCGATTTTTGCAACTTGCACTGCTTGCTGGACTTGATCGTCGCTACGTGGCTAAGCGATTCGCCGCGGACACCCACTTGCTTGTGACACGCTGGTATCAAAGGCATGCCCGCCCGATGCTCCTACTCGTGTTGCCCAGCCCGGCACTCCCGGAAGAGCATATGTCTCACTTGCAACTGTGATCGCAAACCTTCTCGTGGCGTTAGGGGAGAAAGGGGTTCGGGTGGCGTATGGCATATGGAAGCCCTTCTTCAGTAAAGGGCATGTGGCACATTTCACTCATTTTTCCGACAGCAACTGCGCAGAACCAATTAGCGAATCCAGCTGGCCTCCTGTCGCCCGAAACACATAACGAGAATCATGCAGCTGCAGTTCTTGCCGTAGCTGCTTAGCAAAAGCAGCAGCAGAGATGGCATATGCACGAAGGACAAAATAATGTATATAGCGCAGTGTGGTGGTAATGTGTTTTTACCCGCAGACACACACACACACACACATCTCTGAACTGTGTGTGAGATGTGTGCAACTTCAACGATCAGACCGTGACAACAACGAGAACGAGTTCGATCTATCACACAGCACCTACGATAAGCAATGCTTTCGGCAAAGGGCAATACCAGCACCAGCAAGAAACATCTACATGAGACTGATACAATTCGTACGAAGTTTGTTCGCCGCTGCTAGTGAACTAGTGCCACCACCAGTAGTAATATGTAAAGTTCTACCGACAGAGTTATGCTCAGAGCTCAAGATTCTTGTAAGCGGCCTCCACACTGGCAGTGCGCAGGTCGTCGACGGTTTGAAAAGCAGAGTCTTGCCTCAGGGCAAAGTAACGGCCACGCCAAGAAATCAGCTTATCATGCATCCTAGATCGTATCCATGACGCAATTTCCCGCTGCAAATTTCAACTTCCTCCCCACATCTCGGCAAATGTCGAGTACACCGGTGTCGGAAAGACTGCAAAGAGGCTCGATAGGGCTCTGTTCCAAGTTAACGAGAGACGATGCCATCCCAAGCCGCCGGAGCCAAGCAAATGACACAAATAACATGAGCGCAACTGTGCAAACCTTCCTACTGCGAGCCATTGAATATACACACGTACATGTGCATAAAAAACTAAATATATATATATATATACACACACATATATGCCTATATCTATATATCTATATATATATACAGAAAATAAATAATTATATATATATATATCTATATGTATATATATATATATATGGTCGCCCCCCCCCGTTGACAGACCATGCCCTCTCAACTGAGTAGATGTGCATGGTGTGTCATCGGATGGGTGGCGATCAGCCCTCACAAACTCAATTCCAAAATTTCCAATATTCTCGCCCCTAACTTTCCGGATTTCCAAAAT